GTTTATAATAAAGACATTTTAGGCAAATCAGAGAATGTTAAGCAAAAATGATTCTAAAAAAATTGATGAATTGAGATTGAATGACCCTGAGCTGTCTTTAATTACTATAAAAGCTTTGTTTTAAAACATCATTTAGGTATTTGATTCCTGTAAGAGGTTTTATCCACTTTTTTTCCTGTACAGAGAAACTTTTGGTGCAACCCAAAAGATTTTGACTCAGCACCAAAGGAACTTCAGCAACACCAAAATAATAAAAATTGAGAAACAAACAAAAAAACTTAGAATTAATTGACATTTCTTATACTTAAGCATAACAGACAATTCTGTTTACCACATGGTCAGAAATAATAAGAAAATGCATAGATCCAAATCAAATAAGGTAATTTGCCTTCTACCATATGCAGTCGTGACCCTCCAAGGGCTCATTCTGAGCCAGAAAGAACCCTTGTTAGAGGGTTGCAATGTGACATTTGCCCTAATTGATAGGACGGAGGAGTAATGATGTAGTGCTGGCAAAGCTACTGTCCAGTTACTCACCTGAGGAATATAAAACAGACCCAACAGGTTTGCGACGGCTGTAGAGACTGCAGACCCAGCAGCTCCCACTACTGCAATGGTTGATGGGATGTGATCTGTGCAGTTACAAAACTCATCTAAATTCAGGGAGTCAATCTTATTTTGGGCCACAAAACTAAGAGTAGCTTCCAAAGCTTTGGACACCGTGTTGCACGTGTCAAAGATCCTGTAGCCAAGAGTGATGTTGGGCAGTAGCGTGCTGCTGTTGTTAATCTCATCAATAGCAAAAATCATGGCTTGGAGCCAACGGAAACCACGGAAATTGAACCTGTGAAAGCAAACAAGGCCTGTGTTTAAACAAACTCAACACGCTCAGTTTTCAAAAAACTATTTGTGTCATAAACCAGACGTAAACTTTACCTGACACACTGCGTGGATTCTGGCCGAGCTGCGAGGTCTTGATCTTTGGATGCGACACCAAAGTGTATGGGGAAAAGACCTCCGAGTAGAATGTCACCAGTCATCTGTGCTCTCTGATGAGGCCCGTAAGTTGAAATCACATAACTGGACCCCAACAGTATCACATAATACAGAAGAAGTCTCATCTTTCTTCTCTTTGTAGTGGTTAGGATGGTTTTCTAAGACTTCTCAGGATGAAGAAATTTCCAATATTATCGTCTCCCATCAATCTGCCTACCACACCGTTTTGTGTTTTTCATGTTGGCACTGATGAGAATTTCTGCCTGTTAGAAAACATTGGAGAAAACACGTTATGCATCTGAGTAGACAAATTGGCTATAATTACAACTGGCTAGAAATAATCGACACTAGTGCTGATGCTGATACCATCGAATAAACTCTAATCACTGAGCTCACTTTTCCCATTTAAACAAGGACATAATGGTGTTAGAAGGCTATTATTAACAGCTGGAGTTCACGATTACATCCGTTTTTTAAGAGTTTGAATTTTTTTTGGACTTCTTGAGTTTCTTTAAAACGTTTCACACCTCACTAACAGGGTCATCGTGCTGCTTGAAATACCCTTCTGCACCGAAATAGACGCTGGATTTACATGAGCTGAGAGTGAAGTCACACTCTAATGACCCTCCTTCCTGCGAACGCTCTCGGTCTCACGCTGTGGCCAGTGAACCAAGTCTCCATGGAGAAAAGCCATAGCTGCCCTGCTGCATCTGGCTAATACTGCTGGAAAAATGCTGGGGCAGAGCTGTGATAATGAAGTAAGCAACACCCCTAACAGCCTCCGTTGGCCACGTTACAGAGAAGCAGATGGACTTTTTAGTACATTATCAAAAAGAATATTCAACTTTTAAAAAGATTTTTTTATCGTCCACAGTCAGTATTCTCCTTATCTTGTTTGTAAATGTAAAATAAAAACTTCCAAAATGCAGCTGAGTGGCAGAGATTAAAAATGCATTAATTTTTTTTTTAAATGAAGTAAAATCAACAAAGAAACTGGCAGTAGTGTCTGCTTTAAATTACTGTTAGAACTTTCATCTTTGTCCAAAAAAAAAAAGCGGCCACATTAGATCAAATAATTACATGCTTTTAAACTTCCAATTAAAACAGTTAAAACATTAAATGTTGAATATAACGGAATAAAACTTACCCCCTCAATGCCTAAGCTTTGCTTAAATAAGCTTGAAACAGTCAGTTTTGAAGTTATACACAGATTTTGAGGACTCTTTCCAAAATATCCTGGGTGCTGAATGAATTCACAGGACAATACTGCAAGCCTCTGAACCTTTCTCTTCAGATGAATCATTAACAGAGAGAGGGATTGTCCATTTCCTTCAGCTAATGAAGTCTACTCACAGTTCACTCCTCCTGAACTGAAGCAGTCGCAACCAAAAATATCAGTGATTCTATACTATAACTATGACAGTTCAGGCCTATGATACTGTAAACTACTGCCAGTCAACTAAAAGATATAATATGAGATGAAAGAGGTGAGGCTAAAATTCCTTAATTTCTATTTCAAGCCATGTATTTGTAGCTACATTTTTTTCAGTTACCAATAATAACATTTCTTCTCCAACCTCACTCCAACATGTATATGAAAGCTTCAAGACTTTCAATCAGTGTTTCATCAAAATGGAAAAACCACATTTCAAACACGTCTGAATTAGAATTTCAACATACCACAGTGCAACTTTCACACATTTTCTCAGCACTACTGGAACCCATAAATGTAAAAAAAAAAATATATATATAAATCCTGTTGGCCCTTATATGTGCTTGCATGTGCTCAACATCCAGTGATCGGCTGTCCGTTGTTTACTATATTTTATGTTCAGGATGATACCAGGAACCCCTGGAAGCAGTGGATTGCACCATAATGTCAGTTGACTCCTCATGCTCTGATGAGCGAGTCTTCAATTTGTTGCTGAGCAGACGTGTCCAGTGAAAACTATTTCGGTTTACAGCATGTTGACTTATCTGTGTCCCAGTCCAACCTTGTGTCCACGAGACATCAGGCACGGTGAAGATGCAACAAGGTTGAAGAAAACAAGTCTGCTCTGAAATGACTTCATAGTTTCTTATTTGTTTCAGTCAACTTCATAGCTGGAATGGCTGAAAGACGGCCGTCCAACTCGATGTACAGACTTTAATGTGCTGTTTAATTAGCGGGGCAATCATAAAATCCTAGAATGTTTTGTATTAGCGTTAGCACTGCCCTCATGTGGAAGATGAGGACAGCAATGTTACTGCAAATTAGTGCAGGTTTCTTATTGAAAGAAACTGTAACAACTTGGTGAATATGTTTTTACTTTCACGGCTAAAGTCAAATGACACAGAATATATAACTTGTTTAATGGCAATTCTGCACAACCATGGTTGTATGGACCATCTAATGAGAACAATCTTTCATGCAGGTATCCTCAGGTGACTGAACATTCACTTTACACTGAATCACAGCAAATTGTCTTTTATGCACTATTCAGTTTGGTTGTTTTTCATAAGAAACAAAGACAACGCATCTCTATTATTTAGTTGTTTTTTTTTACTTGAAATATAAGAAATGACATCTTGCACAGTTTCACAGTTTCCTTAATTTTGTTGTAAAATATGAATCAGAAAGGAAAATTAGTTTAGTCAATTCATTCTGATGATTTTTATTTGAGTCATCGATAATTTTACGAATACCACCAGAAGACTGGAAATAGAAATAAGGCTAAATCTGGTCGTCTATCATATCATCTACACATATAAAAGAAGAAACAGCTAAATGCTTTACTAACTGCTTTCTGCTTCATAAAATATGTCTCATTGCTTGACATGCCAGTAGTGTTCTCAAAGAAATCATTCTGATCCTGTCTTTTTTTTTCAGAAATGGCACATAAGTCTGAAATGTAACATAATGTGTAAAAAAATGTTGGGCTGTGAAGAGTTCACAGTGAATGGGTTTATGCTCACACATAGAGTGTGGTCTGAGACGGATCAAAACACAGCAACACGCTGCAGTATCCAGCTGAAAAGGTAAGGACGCCTTTCTTAAAATGATGAGTGTATATTCTACTAGATATGAACTCTGTTGGTTAGTTAGTATGGAAAGTTGTTTCAGCTCATTTTAAAGTTTGCTCTGCAATGTCTGAAAATAGAGTGTTATCTGACTCGTGACGCGCCATTATGAAAACAGTGAAATAAAAAAGGTATTGGAATAATAATATCTGCTTTAATTTGTTCTTGTTTCACACAAAAACGTAGGCAATTACAGTAAATTATCCATGACATATGAAATGATTACAAGAAAAAAACAATGTACCTGACAAAGATAAGTAAAAATTGGTGCTTATAGTTTCCGACAATGGTTTGAGCTTTATAATGTGTGGGAACAAAAGCCACTTACTGTGCAGGAACGGCACTTTGTGAACACGATAATTTATGAATGGAGAGTAAATGTGTGTGTGTGTGTGTGTGTGTGGCTCACAGACTGGTATATGAAAGTGTTCTTGTTCACTTCTTAGTAATTGGTGGCCTTAGTTTTACAGTTTTACAGTACAAATCGTCAAATTGTACAGTGCTGTGTTAAAAATAAATTACCCTTTGCAGTGTGTTTGTTACATAAGAGTTAAATAACAGACCGTGGCAGCGTCGGCTATTTTTTAAATTCTGAAGCAATTTTGTGGAAAGGGATCAATTGAAAAACAAATGTGAAAGCTTAAGATAACATTTAGCATTTAAATGTGTTTATCTGTGTCTGTTATGTCTAATATGAGCATGTGGTTTGGACATTTTCATGCAGTGTTTCCTGCAAATTTTACCGAGATTATAGATCTATAACAAATGTATAGCGTCCCTTTGATATTTTGTAATGACATTATGGTTTACTAAAATTAAAAGCTGTTCCTGATTGAGGGTCTTAAAAACTTAAAATATACACTTCCCTCTTGTGTCAGTTCACAACTTTATGCGGTTTGTCTTGAACAGGCCTCACAATTAACACAAATTGCCTTGATTACCAGATGTCTGGGGCAAAGGTTCTGCTGTTCCTGCAGAGCCTGTCACGTAGGAAACCTCTGGAGCCGGAGGGTGAAGTGTCCAACTTTCGGCGATGCCTGACCACCCTCGACCTGGTGGCCCTCGGGGTCGGCAGCACGCTGGGGGCCGGGGTGTATGTGCTGTCAGGAGAAGTGGCCAGAGCCGTGGCCGGGCCGAGCATCATAATCTCCTTCCTGATAGCAGCAGTGGCCTCCATCTTTGCAGGGCTGTGTTACGCTGAATTCGGGGCTCGCGTTCCCAAAACTGGCTCTGCATATCTCTACAGCTATGTGACCGTGGGCGAGATATGGGCTTTTATCACTGGCTGGAACCTGCTGCTGTCTTATGTCATAGGTAAAAAATAATGTCACTCTGAATGCATGTATTGCTTTGATGTTGCTTTAGAATAGTCTCACTTCTAAAATATACAGACTAGTTGGAAAATATTGTTATTTGTCATTTTGTGTACAGTTTTGATGTTTGCCTGTAACACTCGTCACCTTAGTGTGTTCCATTTTTTGAGCCTGTTAGAGTTTGAGCATGTTGTTGGCCTATTTCTTTCTGTTTTTAAGGGACATCAAGTGTAGCCAGAGCATGGAGTGGCACCTTTGATGATCTCATTGGAAATGTCATTGCCAACTCTCTGGGCAAACAGGCTGCGATGGATTTACCTGGATTAGCTCCCTACCCAGACTTCTTTGCAGCTGGCCTCATAATGCTCCTGGCAGGTACGTTTCCTAATCTAGAGCAGTCACAAAGTTGTATTACTGTAATTTGTGTGTGAAGCATGAAGGAAGATAACACAATAACAAAGATCTGGAATATATTTGTAGTGAATTGTCAATACCTTTCTCTTTCCATTTCCATTGTCACGCTGAGCTTAATATTTCCTGTGTGCTTTCCTTCTAGGGATTCTTGCATTTGGTGTCAAAGAGTCGGCTATTGTAAATAAGGTTTTTACAGCAGTTAACATCCTTGTGTTGCTGTTTGTTATCGTCTCTGGCTTTATTAAGGGAGACATCAACAACTGGTACACCAGTGAAGACAGTCTCCTAAATGGATATGAGTATGGAACTCTTTTATTTGTTGTATTTGTATTTTGCATGTTTCAGTTTGCTTGAACAAACAAACATCTGTGTTCTTTACAGAAACTATACGTTCTTAAATGAAACCAGCACATATGGCAGAGGGGGATTTTTTCCTTTTGGCTTTGAGGGAACATTAGCAGGAGCGGCCACTTGCTTTTATGCGTTCGTTGGATTTGACTGCATTGCCACAACAGGTAAATTAAAGGAGGGTCAGGAAGACAGTTTCTAACTCTTCAAATGTAAAGCAAATGATAATCATCCATCGGAATGATTTGCACGACTTCACACAACAATGACACTACACAAGGAAACACACATTCTTTGTTTAATATGTTTTTTGCTTTAGGAGAGGAGGTTCAGAACCCTCAGAAGTCGATCCCACTGGGGATTGTGGCGTCCCTCCTCATCTGCTTCCTGGCTTATTTTGGTGTTTCTGCTGCCCTGACTCTTATGATGCCGTACTATTTGCTCAGCGTTCACAGCCCACTGCCTGTGGCCTTTACGTACATCGGTTGGGGCCCTGCAAAGTACGTAGTGGCTGTAGGATCCCTCTGTGCTCTGTCAACAAGGTAGGAAACACAGTGTCCCATTTATAAACCCAATACAGGCTCCAAATCAAAACCAGGACTCTAACACCAATACCTAAATGGTAATTCAAGAGTTATTTGGGCTTTTTGCTGCAGCCTCCTTGGATCAATGTTCCCGATGCCCCGTGTTCTCTTTGCCATGGCCAGAGATGGACTGCTCTTCAGGCCTCTCAGTAAAATGAGCGACAGACAGAGTCCTGTCATAGCTACACTGGCTTCAGGGGTTGTAGCAGGTAAAGCAGCCAATACAAGTCACAATCATCTAAAGTCTATATGGACATTTTATTTTTGCTATATGTCATTCCATATCAGAATTAAGACTGTGAACATACACTATATTTAAAAAGTGATTGATGCAATATAAAAAGCATATTTTATGTGTTCTATGGCAGCATCAACAGTGAATGGATAGTTCAAGTGTGATTTAATAAATGTTATTAAGTTATTAAACATTAAATGTATGTGTGTAAGTCTATGTACATTATGTCTTTGCAGCTATCATGGCTTTACTGTTTGACCTGAAGGCGCTGGTTGACATGATGTCAATTGGAACCCTGTTTGCCTACACACTTGTTGCTATATGTATCCTCATATTAAGGTATGAATCATCATAAATATGCACATGTGGTGTTACTACACTAATCTTATTAGTTACTATATTTGTTTAAAAAAAAAAAAAAAAAGTCACCTTTGTGAGCACTGCAGGTGTAATAGCAATAATAATATTAATATTGAATGTAACTGGATTTTAATAATAGAAAACAATGCCTGGGAGAACAATTAGATCATGATTCAAAGGTGGGGTCATGAGCAAGACTGGAATTTGATCTGTGCTAGTGTGTAGATGTAGAATAATGAGCTAATCACACAGTTCAACTGACATTACAACAGCTGCTGATGCTGTGCAGTTTCCACTTTAGGAATGCATGTTTTATTCACTTTAATTTGTTGCTGATAGTAGCATGTTTCACATCATGAAATAAGATGGTATTAGCCTATTGTGTGTTGGAAACATAAAGATTAAAACTGTATTACAAACTCTGAGTCAAATAAGTTGATGTGAAACAGGATTTAAAAAAAAAAAAAAGTCACAGCTAAGTCAAAGCTTCTTTTTTAAACCCAATTCCTTTACACATGTATTTATTATATTTTCTTACTTTTACAGGTACCAAGCTGATCACAGTGATGATTCAAGTTTAGACAAAGCAGAACCCTTTACAGTTGGTGGAGTATTATGTCCTCCTTCCCAAGTCACCACACGCACATCAACAAATGTGTCTCTTTTAACTGTTTCTATTAGTAAGTGATCTCTTTTAACATCCTCTATTATATATAACATTACACATATCTTATTTTTATTGTAAATAATTACTGGAACTTACAGTATTGATTTTCCCCCAGTCTTTTTAGCTGTCATCCTAAGCGTCTTTATATCAGGGGCTGTGGACTCCCTGCAGGCCCTTCAGTGGTGGAGTTTACTTTGTCTCTCTGTGATATTACTGATGCTGCTCCTTATTGTCCTGATTATCTGGAGACAACCACAGAGCACAACCAAAGCTGCTTTCATGGTATGCCACATTGATCTTTAGTGGCTTTTTTCTGGAGTCATATAATTATGTAGACTACTTTATTAGCAGTTTATTTTTTCAACTACTGAGATGCTTGAATAGTAGTATAAATTACATAATTAAATATAATGGTAATTGAGTGCATGAAATTACTTCTAACTGAAAAAAATAGCCAGTTAGTAGTAATATTTTATATATCTCTTGCAGCTACAAAGTTATTCACACAAAAGTTACATTTTGTTGTTGTTTTTTTTGTTTTATCTGTCATAACACTTCTGCTTTTTTATATCTACAGGTTCCTTTTGTGCCATTGCTTCCTATTTTTAGCACCTTTGTCAACGTCTATCTCATGGTTCAACTTGGATCAGACACCTGGATCCGCTACGCAGTGTGGATGGCAGTAGGTATGTGAAGAATATCACAATGAAATACACATTTTTGTGAACATTAAATGTGGGGAAAAAAATCACAATGTTGTGACATGACCACAGTTGATGTAAGGCTTTATTTCAAACAGGTTTAATCATCTACTTTTGTTATGGGATTCAGCACAGTGTGCAGAAACAAAGGATTCAAAACTCACACAATCGAGTCAGTATTCACAGCATCACCACCACCATGGAGCAAAACAGTGAACCTGGACGAGATTTTTATGAATGAATTATATGACATGAGTGATGTAATGATACAAACTTTTAATTTCAATAAGCATGTTTGTAATGTGCATAAATCTCATCGAAGTATTTGTTTCAGGAATTCAAAAATGTACAAAAACAACAACAATGTAGCCACAATCTGTGACCTCTTTTTATCTTAATTGTTTTCAACTGAATACCTCAGATAATGTTTTGCTATTTACTTTTTTACTGCTATCATATTGCAGTGAACCTTAGTTTTATAAATAAATCATGTTGACACAATCCCTCCATGAGGTTTCATGCAACATTCTGCTTTCATTTTACTAATTTGATTAAGATGGTTATACATCCCAGGCCACAGTTTGTAAGATTTTACAATTAGCAATGTTCAGTGGTATTTACCACTTTTTAAGTATCTCTTATTATCAGGACTATTCAGGTCCAAATGCCAAAGGATCACATTTTACTCATACGTAAATGCTGTAAATATATATTGATCCTGTACATCAACTTTTTTGTAATCAATATAGCGCAGCTGGTCAAAGAAAGTATTGTAGTGTCCTGCATTTCCCTCTTCGATGACACAGTCATATTACCCACATGGTTTAACCGCTCCATATATTCATGTATAATATATTGCATTGCCAGTTGCAGGGATTTCTTTTGTTTCCCACTTAACTCCCAGTGTAGCCCTGCGTCCTGTGTAATTATTTTAATGTATTTGTCTCCCTTTCTATTACCATGCTGGAGGTAACATGTATTTGTGCTATTCATGTAAAATAAACACAATATTTGAATTTACGGATAATTATGTGTGCCCTTTCTTTCTTTCTTTCTTTCTTTCTTTCTTTCTTTCTTTCTTTCTTTCTTTCTTTCTTTCTTTCTTTCTTTCTTTCTTTCTTTCTTTCAATGCCGTGTAAGACCCTTGTTAACCAAATCATACATGCATGGTGTTTACATACTGTGATAAATACTATTTACAAAACGTGACCTGATAGGAACTAAAGAAAGCCGTCTTTGTTTAAGTAGGCATATTTTACACAGCACACTATGTGAGTCGTTGCTAACCAATCAGAGGGCAGGTAGCTGTGAGCTTTAGCCAATCAGCGACTCGCCCTGCAGGGGAGGCGCATTGTTCAAAAAACCAAACGCAGTCCGGTAAAAATAACTCAGCTGAGCCTTAGTTCGGTTACAGGTGACTCGGCTTGATACGGTTTTAACGCAGTAACCACAGTTTAGTTTAGTCACGTAGTTCGGTTTTGACGACCTGCGGAGGACGTTTAGCACCGAACCTTCTGAAAACGAGGCGCTCATCGAACTTTCGAGGCAAGTTAATCTAACTTTTGGTTCATTAGATGCTAAACAACAGTTAACTTGTTAGTCACGACAACGCTGTAATTACAAATGTGACTACGCTAATAATACTACTATTAATATGTAATATATTACATAGATTTTATCCAGTTACCAACTACGACGACATGTGTGTGTTTTTGGGAGTGACTTTAAAAAAATTTCAAACTAAGACGCAGCACTCACGTCGACGGTGTGTGTTCACGCACTCACCTCGTGTAAAATATCGCTGTTGACTCAATTCAACATAAACTAGAATGAATAGTCTTTTTTAAAAGTCCACTTAAGCTTTGAAGCATGTCGTACAGACTGCCAGCATGGTTAAGTTTTCTCTGTTTACCACATGCTTCATGCTTGAGGGACAAAAAGCCAAAAGCTAGCTTCATGCACAGGAGGTGACATTGTTCCCCTGAGAGCTTGTAACGCCCTACATGGGCTCTAAAGGTGTTTCAGCTGTAATGCAACTCAATTTGATAAATGAAATAAGAACATTTAGGGCACTTGATGTCAATTCATATCCACTGCACAGAATAAACACTGGAGAAGCCAAGTGCAGGTATAAAGTGCAGTGTCCACAGTTTATTGATTTAAATTATGTAGTTCCTCTGCACCGGCTTGTCTGGAATGATTATGGCTTGGAGGGAGAAAAAAATCCTGTTTGACTACTTAAGCAGGCACTATTGGGCTTTGAAGGTCAAACCAAACCTTCCTTAAGTTTCTGTGAGTTTTCTCAGCTTGTCCCTCGGCACACCCTTATTTTAGCTAATCCACTTGTAAGAACAAGATGCTACTTGAAGATGACATAATCGCAAAGATTTACTGCAGGACTGTTTTTTTTTTCAGTGGTGCTTGAACTGTAGACTCATTAATAAAGACATGAGATTCCCTTAAGTATTCGTGTGCAGAAGTGTCCATTCATTTCTTTACATTGCTGCTACTTCCCCATTATTAGTCATTATGCAACTTATGTAATATTACAAAGTGACTTCTACGTGTATTTCCAGTCTCACAGCCAGGTTTGAAATAAGTTGTTGTAATCACTTCATGCTTACAGGATAAGAGAAGCCTTTCATAATCTGATAGGGGTGAAATTAGTAACAAAGGGGATAGTGTTAACATGTAGGGAAAATAACAATATTGCACATATTTTTGTATTTGGAATAACAATGACATTGCACAGATTTTTCTATGAGTACAGTTCTTATAAAGATTTGTCTTCTTTGTCACAGGTAAACATGGCGCTGATTTTGTCCTCCCCGTGTGGATTGCCCTCAGATGAGGAGGAGGAAATGGCTGTGTTTGAGTCTACAGCAGCAGAGCACGGGGGCATGGGTAGACCACGTCTACCTGAGATCTCTGTTATTTCTCCTGGCCTGGACATCCGCCCATCCAGTGTGCAATCGGTGAGAGGCGACAGAAGTATTCTTTTTTTTTTTTGGTGTTGCAATGTTGGACTTTGCCTCTTTCTTCTATTTATTAGTTTGTTTTATGGTTTAGTTGTTCTTGAGTTTGATTCTTTAGTGACATTGTCAAAACATTGAGAGTGTTTTTATTTCATGTGTTCAGAAATTAGCAGTGAAACGTGGAAGCTGTGATGAAGGAACCACAGAGAGGGTGAAGGTTTTTCTGCGCATCAGGCCACTGACTGATGCTGAGAGAGACAGAGGGGAAGAGCAGGTAAGACGTTGAAGTCAACATTTAAGGATAGATATTTATTGCTAATTAGTACACTCTGTGCTTAAGATTCACTTTTCTTTCAGGGTTGCGTGGCGATCCAAGATGAAGAGACTCTGCTGCTCAAAGCACCAAAGGAATCTCAGAACATGAGGGCAGCAGAAAGGGGCATCGCCCAGAGCATTCACAAGTTCAGCTTTTCAAAGGTATGAGAGCTGCTAAATGTTGGCTAATGGATGTTCTGCGTAGTCAGTGTTAGTACAAATGAGGAGAACACGGAGCAAACTGATTATATTTTCTAATTTTAAAAATGTTTTCCATTGAACATTTTCCATAGATTTTTGATCCAGAGACAACACAGCAACAGTTTTATGAAAACAC